CTATACGAAAGCATATTCTATTGTGATCTTATAGGGAGAAAGGTGGGATGTGAGAAACTCTTCTCCAGATAATGGAGGACTTCAGCCATGAATTGTTGTTGACAATGATCTCAGAATGCCCCATCAGTTTTACTCGCACCTATTGTGATTAATTTGTTTTCAACTACCAATACAACTGCAGGATGTGGTTATTCGTGAACTGAAGCCAGATCTTTGTGTACCCATTCAGCGAGTATATTCCCTTATAAGAACTTGACTTTGACTAGCAGCGCCTTCTTTATCACTACTATTGTATTTTTATTGCTAGCTACACTGTGTACTGTTTGCGGTGACGATTCCACTGAAGCAGTCAGTGAGTTGATGAGTTTGCAGTCGAAAATGTCATCATCGGTTTAGTTGATCCTCAATATCCACAAGTTTCCTACTACCTTCATTAATATGAAAATTCCAATTTGTTGTCATAGCCTACTAACTACTTCTATCAGTACTTTCTTTGTACATACACACCAGAAAACAGTATGTGAATGCAAGTGGACAGCTACGTGAATGAATATGATTAAACAACCCACTTCATCGAAATAATTGTTCATCTCTTGATGCTGATTTCGTCACGAACTCTCATCACTTACCAAGTTAATTGAAACCAATTGACAGTTATTTCAGTCGAAGTTAGGACACTTCATCAATGATGACATCGGTGATTGACGTAGGAGCTTCAACATTCGTGGCCAGTCAGTCGCCTATTGATCGAAGGAGACAGATTCTAGTAGCTCATGAATTCTAACTTCTATCTTTTCTCGAATGCCTTTAATGAGCATCCGTCAAACAATCTACGGGACGAAAGATAGAAATTATATATTTCTATCAAATCTTCAATGTTCTTATCCTCTTTTAATTACTCAAAGCTTCAATTCTTCTGGCGGCTTCTATGGATTTATGCCCCACTTTTTACACTTATGTACCTGTTATTGTATAGTAATTAAGGTGAATTTCTATGAGGATGATAGCGCAAATATCAAAGTAATTTTATACTTATAAAATCTTTCAAAACTGCTCAAAAGACTTGCTTAAGCCACTACCAAAGAAAATGTACCTGCCGAGTTCGGGAAACGTTACCTTGTCATTGTGCTGAAGAACATTAGCACTCACTTGTGCAAAACGTAGTATACAGTCATCCAGAATACTAAGGACATGATACTGGAAAGATTAAGAGATGTATTTGGTGTATACTGTCCAGTCACATGTCAAGAAATAAAGGCTGATTAAGGAGGCAAACAACGGACTGATAAAAAGAATAAAATGTATGAACTGAATAGATGATCTTGGTACCAAGTCTTTCAAATTGGAGACGTGACAAAAAACAGATCTTTTGAAGAAAGAATGAGTGATTGTGAGTTGATGTGCGATGTGATCATTAGTGATTGCAACAGAGCAAGGGCGAAGGGAATATGACACTTAGAATGCAAAGAACAAAATACGTAACTATAAGTCTTTAGGAACTTCAGTGATCCGACATTCCACTTACACAGCATATCAGGTAGACAACATGGTTTCCTTCAAAGAAGTGGATTGCTTCGGAAGCTCAAGTCTTTTGAAGTTGAAGGAGACCATTGCTAGAAGACGATTTATATCTGAATTATGTTTTCAAAACCACGTTATCAAGTCTTCACCTACAGTCTTGGTTCAGCTCTTCACATTTATCTGATGCCATTATAGTCTATTCACTGTGACCTGTTTTGACACCTACTTACACTATGATTTATCAGACGCTATGGTCCATGTGTTAGTCACTCCACCAAATGTGCTTTATTCACAGTTTGTTGATATTATGAATTGTTTAATAGCTCTCTTCTAATAAACTACATCAACTGACAATTTATAACTCTAAATATCTATTTACTATCCTCTCACCCTAATTTTTGAGCAACTTCGGTCGCCTTACATATGCGACAGCAAGCGTTCATGTTTTACTAACTTTTACTTTAACTTGTCTATCACCCATGAGCATTCCTAATTGATATTTGACACATGGACACTAATATATCAGTGGAATTTGAAGTTAAAAATTAATGGTTGATTAAGATGCGTGAAAAAACTGTGGTAGCTGATTTCTAAAGACATTTATAAATTACATCCACACATTTGTTATCAATAGAGGAATGACAATTTTTCAGGAATTAAAAGAGGATAAGAACATTGAAGATTTGATAGAAATATATAATTTCTATCTTTCGTCCCGTAGATTGTTTGACGGATGCTCATTAAAGGCATTCGAGAAAAGATAGAAGTTAGAATTCATGAGCTACTAGAATCTGTCTCCTTCGATCAATAGGCGACTGACTGGCCACGAATGTTGAAGCTCCTACGTCAATCACCGATGTCATCATTGATGAAGTGTCCTAACTTCGACTGAAATAACTGTCAATTGGTTTCAATTAACTTGGTAAGTGATGAGAGTTCGTGACGAAATCAGCATCAAGAGATGAACAATTATTTCGATGAAGTGGGTTGTTTAATCATATTCATTCACGTAGCTGTCCACTTGCATTCACATACTGTTTTCTGGTGAGTATGTACAAAGTACTGCTAAAATTACGAATAAAACAATGTGCTTCGGTGGTGCAGGGGCAGAGTGCTCACCAATCAAGCGTCATGTGGCTCGGGGTTCGATCCCCGGTCGACGCACTCCTTCACCTCATCAAGACAGTAATAAAACTGGTAAAGAGGGAAGGTTGGGCTTGAGAATAGCAACTATATTCCGTAAAATAAACACCAACACTACAGAAAATTCAAAGCTCTAATTTGAAACCCTGTGTTACAGTGAGAAAGTAGTAAATAAAGAAATTTTAAAAAATAGCACACTTTGATCTTAGTATTTATAGCACTCTGAAATTTAGATAACATATACATGCATGACAGACTTTGTACAAGTAACACCAGTAAATTACTGCTGATTATCTAACCAAAAGACTTGGTTGTGCTTAGCGTAATCCTTTATGAACTCTCCCTAATTTTTTTTCATGAGAATAATTGATCGGATGGGTTGAAAAAAGAGTCCTTAGAAGTGAGGTGCAAAGTCTCCTTTCAAAAACTTAGTGTTTCTGCGAGAGGAGACTTTGTTCCACAATTATCAAATAAATTCTGAAATAATTTGATTCTGTATGCAGGTTGTTAAAAGCTGAAAACAGTAAGTTTCTCGTGTTTTTATCCATTTAGGGAGTTTTGTGTTGATTTAATTTAATACTGGGATATACAAAACGAGTTACTTTTGTCACGGATATACTTCCCACCAAACGAACAATATGGGAATCCATTAGTTCATCGATAATAAACTTATAAACAGGCAAATCCGTTAATATGACACAATAAACCGCCTGAAATGATATTTTCAGACGTCAGTTGTGAAACTATATATGCGCTTACGTATTAATATCGTTCCCTCGGGCTTCGAATAGAACATATGAGTTCACCAACACAACTTCATTTCATCCCACTCGATGGCCTGGTGGTGGATGTTATCCAGTGGTCTCCACAGTGTGTGAATGATGCATCTCCATTCAAGTCTGCGTACTTGTCGAGAGATGGGTTCTTGATTGATTGGATCCCAGAGTTTCGAGTTTCTGATTATTGCTGGCTATTTGATCTCTTTAATATGGAGTCAGCAAAGGCAGCTGTTGCTGAAAGTCCGCAATAGGCTGTTGGAAATGCTTTTCATGACGAGTTAGTCAAGTTTCTGACCCATATAGAAGAACTTGGGCATACTTTACTGAAGTTATTTCATTTTACAGATTGTAGATTTCTTAGTTAAATTGAAATGGAGAAAGTGCAGTAGTGTGAAGTTTATTCAGTAGTGCGAAATCTTCCTTGTGAATTATCGAGCAGCATCTAGTTTGTCTAACAGTTCTAAAACTTCAGCTCTATAAGTGGATAAATTAGTATTTGCAGATATAGGAAAAACGACAGCTTTAACTTTGGATAACTTAAAATAAAAATATTTAAATTAGTTCAAGGGTATTCCATAAATTGAAACAAGACTTTTCCCGATGTTATGCTGTGTAAGCTACAATTTGTTCAGAAGAATTTGTTTAGCCAGGCAGACGTAACTACTTGAGCGGCTATCCCTCTGTAAGACCCTAAGTTCTGTTCCTGCTTGATGTAGTGGTTCGATTTACAAGAACTTATGTTGATTAGCATTCTTAATTTAGTTCTTATTACGTATTATTATTATTGTTCCTTTGTGTTCCGAGTGGAAAGTAGGGCTTCAACAACATCTCTCCAGTTTTTTTATTTTCTGCCATCCTCTCCAGTTGGGTCCAAGATTGCCCAAACTCTCTCATATTTTCTTAACACCACCTCACCCATGTCACCCTCGCACCGACGACCAACTCATTGCTTCCCATTAAGATTCCACTGCAGCGACGGCCTCCTCAATGAATGCCCAATCTATCTCAATTTTCTCTCAAAAACCTGTTAAGCAATCGATTCTCGGTTGGTTTGTTCCCAGTTAGAGTTTCTTGTTGCTTATTCTCTCTCGCTGGCCACATAATCTTCAGTATGGAGACAGCGAAGGTGGCAGCTGTTGACGAAAGTCTACAACAGGCTGTTGGAAATCCTATTCGAGACATGCCGGTCAAGTTTCTGAACTATATAGAAGCACTGACCGACTTGACAGTGGTGTTGAAAATTCCAATCTTGTTGCTTATGCTGAGGGTAGAAGACTTCCAAACTAGTATCAAGTTAATGAAGGGGTTTATTGCCTTTCTGATTCTGACTTTACATCTTCATTCGTCCCACCCGTCAGGGGTTGAGACGATGCTTCCTAGATAAGTACACATTACATGACACAAATAGTTTGCTATCCATGCCAGTTATTATCACTTTCAAATTTGTAAATATTTATATATATGTCTATATCAAAATTATTTTTCTGTCTATTTCAACAGGAACAGTTTTGTTCAGTTTCATTCTAAAACGCAATTCTCGGATAATAATTGAAAAGGATGATAGAAAACAGTCTTCAAGATCCAGGATTGTAACTTGAAATAATATTATTTAATTGTTTGTTTTTATGTTATATAAGCTTAGAAAAACATCTTGGCGATATAATACTGGTGGTGTCCATGTAAGTCACATATAATATTTGATTATGGTTAAATACGAAAATCGATGAGTGTTCATTTATAAAGCTGAAAGATTCAAATCTATGAATGTGCACAATGCATTATTAGCCTTAGATCACTGACTAGGAGGGAATTTTCAAGAAACTGGCATAGCCATTCATAAGTGCCACTCTCCCCCCTTTTCATTCACTAGTTCTAATCAATATGCTTGTTCATTCATGTTGAATTTTGTGTTGTTTCTGGCTTAATTCACTTTTCAGAACAGATATGTGTGGTGTCCATCAATGTGATGTATTGAAGTAGTGATGTGAAGTAGTCTCAGTCTTCGTGTAGTATACTGCTTGGGTATTCATGTAAATATGTTGTATATTACAATAGTTTTCTGACATTATCAAAGACACTTAAAATCATATACCTACATATTTTGTGTATGAAGTATGTGAAATTTCAAAGCAGTATTTTTCATTCACATTTCAGTGTGATTGCCGCAATAATAACACTTATACTTGACTTCGACATAAAGGCTCGCTACACTTATCCTAATAATATTATAATGATAGTGACTGCGGTGAGTTTATTCTGTACTTCAGTCGAACTTCTGAACTTTACCATTGCCATTACAAAATGCATTATTGTATTATATGCTTTCAAAGTCTTTACGTAGTAGTTGTTCTACTTGACTTCATTCTTAATAACGTCTTATGCAAAACATGATTTACACGTGAGGTTTGCCTAGCAACTAGAAAAAAGGATATTCTGTCAAATCTTGCATATTGCTCATTTTAGCTGACTGACTGAACTGAATACATGATGCTCAGATATGACTTTTGTGTGGTCACTTTTATTTTAATATTTTAGGGTAATCAATATGTATACACTACAACGAAGATGAGCTAATGTTCATTTCAATACAAAATTACGCTGAACAGTGTTTCCAACATAGATATGACTATATGTAAACCATTATAGCACTATTAGAAGACGGAGATTATCTGAAAAATGTGATGTATTGGCACTATACATCTTCTAGTTGTTTTTCATTTCCTTTTCCTTTAACTTATTTGAAAGATTTATTACTATTATGTACTGACAACGTCCACTTCACCTTTGAAGGTGAACATTTCCGACAAGTGGATGGCATTGCTATGGGGAGTCCATTACAAACTTTTGTTAGCCGACGTTTACATGTCTTATGTTGAAAACCTATCCTTTGATTTAATTTCTAAATTGCCTTTCTATAAGAGATATGTAGATGATATTATTTGATATGCGACGATCATGAAGATGCGAGTCGTCTATTAGACAGACTCAACTCTGTACAGAATCATATTAGTCTAACATGCAAGGAAGAAAGTCTCAACTAGCTTGCATTTTTAGACATACTTCTGAGTCGATGAGATGATGGCTCAGTAAGACAGTCTATCTACAGAAAGCCCACTTGGACAGGACAATACCTTAATTTCCACAGCTTCTGTCCATTACAGTATAAGAGGTGCTTGGTTCAGTGTCTATTTAAGGGGATTCAACGTGTTTGCACGGCTGATGTTATAGACAAATAAAATGAAATATTGATGGATACTCTTGATGAAAACGGATATCCTTTGAAATTTTTAAACAGGTGTAGAAGTCAACTAGTCTCCAAACCTACAATCCATGACGTCCCTAAGAAAAAGGTCTTCATCAGATTACCATATAACGGGGAAATAAGCAGTAGGAATTTGAGACAAAGGTTGAATTCGATCATCCATAGAACCCACTATGCTTCACTTCAAACCTCAAAAGTGCACAAGTGATTATATCACATCCCACACAATTTACCAATTTTCGTGTGTGTGTGGACATACATACATAGGAGGAGTAATCGCGCTTTGCACGTGAGGGTGGGAGAGCATATCTCAAAATGGTTAGAAAAACAGATGAATTGTGACAAGCCAATATATGCAGGTGTCAGACTATCAACTTCGTCTATAGCTAAACATCTAATCGAGATGAACCATAAGACTGATGTTAACTCAGCCTTTAAGGTCATTTATAAAAACGGTCAAGGGCGTTTCCTGAAAAACGCTGAGGCTATAGCTATTCATGAACTTAAGCCCCCTTTGTGTATTCAAAACAGTTTGTTATTACTCTTAACCTACCTTGGTAATCCTTATTTAATTGCATTACCAAACGTTTGTGCTAATTATTCTTAATTCCTTTTTGTCACTTTGTTTAATTTAACTTTTCCATATATACTGACTTGACAAGTAAATGTGTGAGGGATCAGATTGTTCGAAATGCATAGCGCCAATACATCATATTTTTCAGATAATCTCCGTCTTCTAATAATGCTATAAAAATTTATAAAAAGGACTAATTGTTTTCTATGTAAACTTGTGGAATTCAGACAAATGTGTGTCAACATCGTTGAGAATCGTTAGTGGGATTTATGGCAATCATTAATTAACTTGATGGAAAGCGTAACTCTTCTTTGCATGACTTCACAGCATTGGATTTTACTGATGTAAGCAGTATGTTAGTATTGCTAACTTTTCAGATCGTGTGGCTCATCAATGTAATGATTTCGAAAGCACCCTCGACATATTCTTATCTCCTTGCTTCGTTCATATATTTTGTCTTTCTGTGGAATATTTTTATTCAGAATACGTCAACTTCTTTGCATTTGCTTTCGTTTTGTGCACTTGTTTTTACAGGTTGTTTTAATATCGATTGCTGGAACCATATTGTTTAATACTCTCGATTAGTTTATGGTATTTTTTCACTGGCTGTCGGATTTATTTTAGCTGCATTGGCAATTCTCTCAGGTTTCACAACTAGAAATTAAGTTACAGAGGATTAATGATATTCACCACCATATCGTCTGGACTTATCATCCTTGGAATAGTCTTCATGAGTTCCAGTTATTTTTATGTAAGTAAACTTAATAAAAAATTGCCTCATTTTGTTAAAATGAAGCAAAGATGAATATTTCCTTCAAATTCTAAAAAGCTTTAGATTCTTAAAACTAATTTAAGTTCCGCTACCAAGCAGATGTTAAATCAACATTCGTGAAACATATCAAGACATATCACCAATAAAATCTGTGCAGAAGAAATTCTTGAAGAAAATAAAAGTGTCTAGATGTGTTTTGAGACAAATATATTCTGAATGACCTTCGCATTGATCAACCTGTCCTACAGTGACAGATTTCTTATTCATAGACGATTACTAGGGCGATTTAGGTCCCATCATGGTTACTTCTGAACACGTGGATCAACTTTCAGCAGTTTAATTGAGGTAGCCTCAGAAAACTGATGAAGACTTGAGCTATCGACAAAGCTTTATCAGCATAAATGTCAAGAAAGAATGTAGGAAACCAGATAAAATTACAGTCGGTGAGCGACTAATTTTCATTCAACCTCAATCCATATGGTGTGTGTATGTGTGAGGTGAATACACGTTTGAGTACAACACTGACCAGGACGCGTAGCCTGCAACTCAACTAATCTCTCTACTTTGAAGTCTTGCTAATTTGCAAAGTCGAAACTGGACAGGGACCCTTAGCGCGTTACTCCCAGCTATGCACATCAATTTTACTCGTCTGTGCGCGAGTAGTTACTTTGGAAGAACAGAAAGAAGGGCCTATGTCAGAGTCGTTATGCAGTCTTTAAACTCGTGAACTATCGTACTTAGAAGAATTGATGTCATTTTCTGTGGCACTCTCTTATCATTTTACTATCGTACTCAGAGAATACTGAAAACAAGTGAAATTGACGTTATGATCTACTTCAAGAAGTATCAGATAGGTGTGTGTTGAGGAAATTTCATATTATTCGTACTTGGTTGGTGGCAAGCATAATCGTGCTTAAATTTAGGCAGCTTACTTGATATCTTGATATTTTTGCTACTGTTTGACTGATGCATTTACACAGAATTTTGTTGTCTCATTGTTCTTTCTAGGACAAACTCAGGATCTTAGCCGGTGCTTGTTGGGGTCTGGGTTTATCTGTCGTAAGTCTTCAGATGTATATAATAATTGTCTTAACTATCGTTTTTAATGAAGTTATATTTAATGTTAAGCAATTATGTTCAGTAAAAGAACTAGAATTTCATCAATCTAGTTTGCTGTCGGTCTGAATACACCATGTAGAGTTAAATAAGCTTAATTTTTAGATTTTTTAGAATAGAATTTCGTTTACCCGCATTCACTTCCAACTTCATGCCAGTTGGATGTTGGTACAGCTCTAAGAAGTAAGCCGAAGTTATTGTACACTCTAGAGTGTTAAAAGGGACCCGCACAAATACTTTTGCCACACTAACCACTGGATGAGAACTAATCAACATTCAGTACTTGCAATGATTCAGTTGCCATATTACAACTAATTATCGCTTACCTGTTATTGAAAGATAAAAAGTGCGTTAACGTCGTTCAGAATAGTTGTGGAGCTCTGAAAATTTAGGAACTGCATTCTTCTGAATGTGTCATCTGTTTTCGATCTGCTTTTTAATGAATTTGAAACTTCCACTTGGGTACTAAAACCGTTAGGAAATAAGTTACTGTTATATCAGAAAGTGTAATATGAAGCATAGAATTGATGCAGCAGTATATACAGTTAACATTTATAGAAATGCAGGTGGAAACCTTTAACTCAATAGAGAGGGAGGATGAAAATGTAAACTGACTTGATTACGAGTTTATAATCAACAAAACCGTGGCTTTCATCGGACAGGTTTTTCTCCGAGTACATAAACGAATAAACAAATAACTTATTGCAACTCGTTAGGATGATTGACAACAGTGGCTTTCTTGTGGAAGCTGGGTGCTTTCTACTCAAAGATGGTAGATAATTATGAGACAAGTCGTGAAAGCATAGGCAGACTGGTGAGTCTTATTCAAGTCACTCAAAGCAAACAAATCTAAAATTTCATGAGGAAGTAATCACCATTTATCATTACCGTAACTCTGAAACTTGGAAAAATCAAGTAGTGACACAAGACTTCAGAATGTACTTTCGGCAACGGATGGGGAAAATGCTGCTTCTGATACAACCAGCAGATATTTACTCCTCAATAAGTGTTGCATAACACTTCAAAAACTCATTAGGCATCTTTAGCTCGTACGTTTACTGTGATCATGTGTATTAGACTGAAGTATTAAACAAAAAATTTATCTGATACACACACAAGAGATTTTTATTGTTCTGCGTACATATCAAAATAATCACAGTAAAACTAAAGCGACTGTTTCTGTATGCGTCATCTAGTTTAATAACCATTCCTTAGTTCATAAGGTAGGGAAATTTAGGCTTTGGACTAGAGATGTGATTCAGGAAAATCACTCGCTTGGTTACAGGAACTTCAAAGCAGAAAACAGATTTTAAAAACTGTTTGTTCTTCGCTAGAATTGGAGGGACAGAGTGACGCGTAGCTGTGAAAGCATTACGAAGTTAGTCAGTCAATGTGTCTTCTTTCATTGCAAGCAAAATAAGCATGTGCACATGGACTGTCCTCACCAGATAAGACGCCGGCTTAAAAGACTTCACAGTTTACAAAACAAGTGAGTCGATAGTGTATGGGAATTGTAGGAATCTGTGAGGGCAGATGGAATGGAAATGGAGTCTGCAAAATGTTAACTGAAAAATAAGACAACAACCACAAACATACTGAAGGAGTATCTATCATGGTGTCACCAAGAATCCGGAGGCACTCATGAAGCGCAAACCTGATTCCTGCAGGATCATGACAGCGACATTAAATGTTACTGAAGCACGAACAACGCAAACCCAGCAGTGAAAATTGGATACTTCTACAGGTAACTGCAAACAGTAATGAAGGATACCACAGTCCAATGAGGATATCAAAATCCTTTCGGGTGACATGAATTTGAAGCTGATTACAGACAAAACAAGAAAACCCATCATGAGCCAGTTGTTCCTTTGAGAAATGAATGAGAGCGGAGAACTTTCCGCAGACTTTGTTCTTGCTTTTATCTGCTGTAGAAGCACTGGATAGACACAAAGCAGCATGCATTTACCGATATGGGAAAAATCAGACGGACGTCATATCAATCTCAAGAGAGTGGAGAAGCAGTCTACTGGACTCAGAATCAAGAAGAGTGGGTACGGACTGAGGCCATTATCTGGTGCAAGAAATTTCAAGGTCAAGTCGAAAGTCATTGAAGAAATTGGGGAAAGATCAAAATCCAAGTTCATTTACTTCGAACGAAGTGATAAAACCACAAAGATATACTCACTGCAGCTTTTGGAACAACGTCAGATACATTATGCATGATCACCAGGGATAATTGTGTGCAAGAACATCGGAACTCCCTGAAACACTCGTCGAAGGAGACCTGTATGTAAATCTTACTAAAAAAGCGTCTCTTTGGCTACATGCGGCGCGGGTTGAGAAGCCGAAGCGAAGGTGGGAAACCCAAGAAAGACCTTTATTAATGTGAACTCCTTTATGAAGTTAGCTGTACTCAGCAGCACTCAGCCACTACTTCTATACTGCTCAGTGACTTGGCTTGCGTCCCACGAAAACCGTTTCAAACAGACTCCTGCACACTTTCATCATTAAATGTCTTCACTGTCTCGATGTTGCAGATCAGATGTCCGACTGAAAAGCGTAGGCAACAAGCAGTTCTGTCATTGCAGGGGATCAGCCAAATTCGGAGCAAAAATATTCCTCAGGAAATGGAGACGTACCGAGTACACACTGGGGAGACAAATGAGTGACGTCATGTACCAATTTCTCAAGTGGAGGCCGTACGGATAAAGACAGGTTAGGAGTCCAACAGTGACATGATGGAGGTGACAGCTTCTGAGAAATCACGGAGTCGAATAAGAGGATAACCGAGAAACGTGTGGGATAGAGATTTTTTTTGAAGGACTATGTTCTCCTCAGGACCTTTAGTGGGTAATAGGGACACTTTCTAGGTGAAGTGGGATATATCCTTTAGCAATTAGGGATATTGTCTTGCGTGAAAACTACCTTTCTGCAAATACCTACATTTCATATGTGAACAGCAAGATAATTTGAATTTCAACTGAAAGAACACACTAATTTTATACTGCAGTAACACTGGACGACCTGTAAAGCACAACCTACTGGTCATCATCGTATTGAATAAAATTTTGTCTAAACGTATTTTTGTCGATTGGGCAAAATAAAGATATCTGAGTAAGTTTTAATTAGATAATTCATGTAATTTTTAGCAATCGGTTGAAAACTGTTTACATTTTCAGATATTGTTTATGCTAACGAAATTTCTGAAGTTAACTCGTGACAAGACGTTTCCTTCAATCCTATTCATATCTTACACATTATGGTCAGTACAAGTTGGAATATGTTTCTCAATATCTGATTGTTTCATTGGAGGTATCAATATTTTCGGCCCACAACAACTTTAAGTCAAATTTGTATTTGCTCAATATACAGTGTTAATCTTTACCTCGAATAATGTTTTTACAAACTCATGATTTCCAAATCATAAATTTTGATTCAGTACAGTTTATTCATTCTAAATGAATGTTTATGTAATACAACGGATATATATATATATATATATATATATACATTAGACTTTCAATATTAATTGCAAACATAATATCAGCATTATTTATTGCTATTGTCCCCTCAGTTTCCGAGTGGAACATAGGATCTCATCAACACAACTCCATTTCTTACCATTATCTACAGTTCCTCTCAAGCAGGCCCCCTAATCGCCCACAATCTCTCGTCTCTCCCCACACGACCCACTTCATTTCACACTCAGACATACACCCAATACGTCAAAGTCCATTCTAGTTCCACTCGATGGCCTGGTGGTAGATGTCATCCAGTGATCTCCACGGTGTGTATCTGATGCATCTCTATTCCCTCCGGATGTTTGTCAAGTGATGGGTTCTTGATTGGTTGAATCCTTGAGTTTCGTGTTTTCGATTATTTCGGCTATTTGATCTTTAATATGGAGACTGCGAAGTCAGCTGTTGCTGAAAGTTTGCAGTAGGCTGTTGAAATGCTTTTCGTGACGGATTCACCAAGTATCTAACCCGTATAGAGGAACTGACTGACTTCACACTTGTGTTGAAAATTCGAATCTTGTTCTTTTGCTGACTGCAGAAGATTTATAAACTGGTTTCAGTTTGATGAAGTCTTATCTCACCTTTCCGATTCTCTCTGGCTGACTTTCACATTTGATCCGTTCTGTCTGCCTGTGGTTAAAACAGTAATTCCTAGAAAAGTAAAAGGAAGTCAGCTCTTTCAAATTTCTTCCGTTCATAGCGATTGACGCTGGTTGTTGTTGTTGATATTGTTAGTTGGTTGTCTTTATCACCTCCCTCTTCTCTCTGCACGCTTGAAGTCCTGTTTCTGTTACTTCTTCACCTAACTTGTTGATTTTCTCCTTCAAGTCTTCGAGTTTGTTTGACATTAGATATATTTCATCAACACGCGAAATCCAGAGTCTTCTTATCGGTCCAAAGTATTCCTATCTTCTCACTCCGCACTCGTAGTCTTCCGCATCATCCAGTCCTTCACAGTTGATAATATCATCGGTGGAAGTAAGCAGCCTTGTTTACTCCTGCATTCACTTCAAACGTCTCATTGCCTTTTCCGTTATGGGTCACCTGACGCATGGCTCTGTCAAATAACTGTAGAATAAGGTTGATAAAGATTTGGGGAACTGAACGCCATAATGTTGAAGTGATTTACAGATTACTTCATGGTCAATACTGTCGAAAGCTTTGTCGAAGTCGATGAAGCTGAGCTAGAGGTTTGACTGCCATCCTATTCTCTGTTCGAAAATGATGTGGAGAGTTACAGTCTGGTCAGCCCGTCATTTGCCCTCCTTGAATCCAGCTTGTTTTAGGCTGGCGGAGTTCTGTATTCGGTGCATCTTTTATTCTCTCCGGATAACACAACTTCCTATTTCATTTGACGTGGAAAACAGCGTGATTCTGGGCCAGTCCTTATAGAAGCCTTAATAGCCTTTCTTTGGTAGCCTGTCAAAATAGCTTTTCTTCCAATCGGTAAGCACCTTTTCTTCTTTTCAATCATTTTGCAATAGCAACATCAACACACCAGTGCTTCGTTCCTTCCCATTTCTCGAACTCCAGTAGCTTGATTGCACTCAAGATATCGGCTTTTACTCTGGAAATAAGTAATATGTTACGTCTTATATTCGCATAAATGTACACTTATTCATAATAATCTGTGAACTAGGGAAAACAGTAATTCTTTTAGCGGTGTCTTTACGATCGGATCACTTTCACAGGAAATCACAAGAGACATAACTAACTTTGTAACTATGATCAATAAAAAGAAGTGGAATTATGGTATTACCCAGAACAATAGATATTATTCAGTAAAGAGTGGAAGCGCTTTACAGTTGCAGTGACTAATCTGATAAAGCTGATAAGTTCTAATGTGAATCTGCCAATAAGTGGACACGCACACAAATGTCACAGCATTAATATATGTACTACTGAAATCGACGACAATGTGAGAATAAGCATTGAAAAGATTGTGAGAACACCAGTGATATAAAAAATGGTGTTGAGACCGAGTTACTGCATGAATAATGGTTCAGTAAACTTTCATAATAGGAAATTTCAAATGGTGGGTTAGAATTTATTTTTCATGACTATGAATAATATAATTATTGAAATAATTTTAAAAGAATTGCATCAAGATTATTTTAGCATACTAATAAAGGGAGCAAATACACATTTTCCGTAAATTCTTAACACGCTTCATAATTAAATAATTAAATATCGGTCATGCACATTTGAAACAGTGCGAACCAAATATAATGCAGGTGAATGTAAGTAGAATAACAATAAATTCTGAAACTACGATTGAAATATGTACCTACAGCACACTGTGATATTGATAATGCAGTTGGCAGTACAAATAAAATAATGTACACCGTCATCCAGTGCCATCGGGATGACTATTCTAGGTCAGAGTTGAAGGTCATGGGAGGGAACGGGATTAAATAAACGTTCCTTAGCCAAAAGATTGGGCTTAAAATATTATTTTGAAGACTACCTCAGCTATGCTTAACAATCACATACATGCAAACTTAAGGAATTGAGGTGCTTCATGTATAGATGGAATTTTTTATCTATTTGTGACCTGTATTCATAAGGTGTGTCATTATCGAACTTCTGATTGACTTGTTGAGTTCTTCATTGAACCACTTTCGACAATCTTCAAGAAGGCGACAGTGTAACTATCTTCACAAGAACAGTTAAAGTTGTAAATTACACATTGAAGTGGCCAAACTCGGTGGCATATCCTTCACCTGTATTCGAATCATATAACGAGTGGTGAATTTGGACATAGAGTTGCGACTTAAAATGTTTTAGCTATTGGTTTTTCGCAGTTTTGATGCAGTAGTTCAGTGGATGTGTCTCTTTTGAATGATAAAGTCATATGTATACGTCACTTCTGCATATACGTCTTCTGGATTTCCTTTCTTATATTACAAACTTTCTGTCCCTCTTATTTCATCACCAAGAGTCTTGGTTTCGCAGATTTTTCTTGCACGGAAAATCATCGTACATAGGAGATTTCGTTTGTATTCAAGAGGGACAAACGATCTGCAGTGGATGTATTGGTCAACCTATGGTTCTCTCCCGTATAATACTCTGCTTAATAAATTCATCTTGCCTTCTTTATAGTAGGACATCAAGAAATGATGAAGCATAGTCTCGCTTTCTTTCATATGTGAAATCAATTTATCATTGAGCTATACTGAACGTTTTGAGAATGACCTCGTTATCGATTTTGTTCTTATATAAGGTAGAAGTATCATTCATGCATCTGCAGTAGGGGAGAGTTCGCTGATATTATTTAAAGTGAAGCGTTCTCTTATTCTCTTATAAACATATAGGTTAAGAGATGACCCAGAGAAGAGGTTGTTACTATACTCTGCAGCTGACGGTAGATTTCATTTTTAGACTGAGACTGCAATTTATTATAAAACGAAGTTATCCTGATGACACCGAATAACTGTGGACACTATTTGTATTTGTATTGCCAACTGCATTATCAATATCACAGTGTGCTGTAGTTACATATTTTAATCGTAGTTTCAAAATTAATTGTTCTTCTATTACATTCACCTGCATTATGTTTGGTTCGCATTATTTAAGTATGCTTGACCGATATTCAATTATGTAACTGTGAAGCTTGTTAACAATTTACGGAAAATGCACATTTGTTTCCTTTAATTGTATTCTAAAATTATTGTTATAGCATTCATTGAATTCACAGTCTATGATTTTTGGTGCGAAAATCTGTGACGTTTACTTTATGTAGAAAATGATTTGACGTCTGTCAGAAAGAATCGACAGTAGGTGAGAACATTTTCTCACTGCCGATAAAGTGACCACTGCCAGTAAAGGAAAGCGAATAGTTTTTCAAATAAATCCTTCTAATATCTTAGCCAGTGTCAGTAAAAGAAGCTCTGTATTGTGTTTGCTGAACTGTATGTTTGCGTGCCAGATCCAAGTGTTTCGAAAACAGTGACTGAACTGGCAAGTACACGTAGACTTAGCTGGTAGCGGGTGGTTAGAATATCTATTCGTGAAAAAGTAGCGTTCTGCAACACACCAATCACATTTCTACTTATACGGTACCTACCATTCGAATTTATGGTACTTTTTACCTCAGAAACCCAAGCTTTGAGATGCTCGTACTAAGGACTAATTTCCTTTTTTTACAATAAGACTTTAAAAAACCGAGCAATCTATTCTGGAAAAAAATATTGTAATATAATACAAGAATTTACTTCAGTATTATTCAGCAGATTATGTAATACATGAATAAATCTTTGGTTTGACGATGATATTCGCAACTGTCTGTTACATATTCTCAGATGTTGTTTGTTATAAGCATGTTGCAGAAGTTTACTATGCTCGGACGGGATAGCTATCGAATCCTGTATTCTTTTTTTTATGTCAGTTGTGTCAGTTTAAAATACTCGGCAGTACGGAAATTTCTAGTTGCTATCAGTTATTCTGATTTTATCACTTTGACTGTTTAAATGACGTCTGCAAACTGGGAGTGGTCAGTTATCCAATGGTTACGCAGATGCGTAGAAGATAACTCGGGCAGGTAGTTTAATCATAAGCAAAATATATTTACTACTTTAAGTTTATTAGGGAATATCGGAGTTGTACAGAAAGTCTTGCACGAGGTATTTTTACTGTCCACGGTGGGTTTACTGCAGTGATGAGTCTTCAAGCCTAGGCATTGTGTAAATTCACAGGCGGAACAGAAATCGAGAATGAAATGAACAAGTGAACTGAATTATAATTTAATAATTGAACAGACATCATATACTTCCATGTACATAACTTGAACTCAAGTAAGCAGTGTCAGAAGCGACTGGATGCTTTTA